ATGCTTAATGAGATTAAGTAATTGATTGGAAAGAGCATGAAATTCAGAATAGTCACACGACAGGAACAATACAATTATAGAGGAAACGTGGCTTTTACTGTTCTAGGAGTGGAAAATGATGAGAGAGTATGTACTTTAGTTAACAAAGGAGAACAAGGAAGTATGGTTAGAAAGCTGGCAGATGAAAAAGAGTTCATAGAAAATTTTGAACAAGTTTGTACTATCTTAACATGTTTTTATACAATGTTTTAAATTAAATGTTTTTAATGCTAATGTTTTAAACAATTAAAAACATTAGCATTAAAGATATTTAAAACACTCTATAAAAACATGTTAAGATAGTACAAACTTGTTCAAAAATTTCATTGAACTCTTTTTCATCAGCTAGCTTCCTAACCATACTTCCTTGTTCTCCTTTGTTGACTTAAGTACAAACTCTCTCATCATTTTCCACTCCTAGAACAGTAGAAGCCACGTTTCCTCTATAATTGAATTGTTTCTATCGTGTGACTATCATGAATTTCATGCTATTTCCAATCAATTCTTTAATCTCATTGGGCATACAACCCTCCTATGTCAACCAAATAAACATTAAAGTAAATATTATAAAACTGATAAAATTATTAACATTGTAAAAAATAAGTGGTGATTTCACTAACCTCAGAATATTTCACCTTTAACTCACTAGCAGTGACCCCTAGTAGACGGGTACACACATTATCCCAAAGTATTAGATGACCATCTTGATCATCATCAAGGATATCAATCACCAATTTATATTTTATGATTCCATCTGACCACTGTTTGTTACATGGCTTGCAATACATTTTGTCCTCACTTTGTTGAAGTTTCTTCCCACAGTTCTTATTTGTACATGCAGTGAAATACCAATCGTTTTCAATATCACGAATTTCTCCGAACACCCAAAATTGTCCAACCTACAAAGTTTATTAAAAACACCTCAAATCATGAGTTGTGTGTTAAAAGGAATGTAATATAAATTTAGTTTAAATGATTGTGACCTTCTTTTTGTCATGAATATCCTTTAAAGAACTGACTGTGATATTATGATTCGACATAGCTCCAATAGATCCGCTTCTAATGAGTCTGGAAGTTGAGCTTATACTCCGCACATGAGTAAAGAACCTAGGCAAACAACTTAAAACAAATATGTTGTAATTGTTCAAGATGTTATCGATTGCATATTATACGGCGTGGCCAAATTAAAATGCGTCAATACCTCTCCTTAAAATTGAAAAACTCAAGACATTCGTAGTTGAACAAAATCTTAGTTGCCGTATAGGAACTGGAAATCTTGACCTCACAATCTAATATAAAAAATAGTTTTAAATACGTATATTTGACAAAAATAAATTAAAATTTACCATTGTATTATTACTCACCTTCAATCATCCTTGCCCTACGCAATTGAAGTATAACAATCAATGGATCTGTTAAAACAACATTATAGAACGGCAACAACGAATCCACATGCTAGCTCGTCCCACAGGGTTATGCTCAATCGACTTTCCCTGAATTAACAGAAATTGATTTCATAATAAAGGGTATATATTTATATTTAATTATACCAATAAAGAAGAGATAACAATTTTACAAAAATACATACCTACAATCCTCAATGACAAAATCAATCAACCTTTGAGGGTTTTGATGAACATGAATAACTTTAGGCTCATAATTAAGGCTATATATTTATATTTAATTATACCAATAAAGAAGACATAACAATTTTACAAAATACATACCTACAATCCTCAATGACAAAATCAATCAACCTTTGAGGTTTTTGATGAACATGAATAACTTTAGGCTCACAAATCGAAACTACATGACCAATAAAATCTGTGGGAAAAAAATAGAATCGGAAAATTGCAAAAAGAAATGACATAGGTTTATATGAAAGAGTAATAAAAAGAACAGTATGTACAAAAGTTGTTGCAATGATCTTAAATATTAATTCGTTACAATCATCACCCCTGGAGCCTTCAAGGACCCAAAGTCCTTAAATTTAAACATGTTTTTTTGGAAAAAATTAAATCAACTTGATCCGAGACTTTAATCATCGTGTCACTGTTTGCTTTCATAATGAATTTGTGTTTACACGTCTTAAACCTCACGCGAGATGTGTGCACAATAAAATTCTCAATGTCATACACTTTTCCTTCGATCAAAACAGTAGCAAATCTGTCCACATATTCCTTTGGAATTTGTAGATGTATGCATATTCCCTACAAGAATCATTCATTAATTACAATTGATAAATAGATATTGAATAAAAGAGAAAAAAGTATGTTGTAAATAATTTATAAATTAAATACATACCTTATAATCATGAAATAAGCATTCCAAAGTTTGGTGGTGCAATGGCGTGCGTTGATATTCTCTAGAAAAATAGCAGGATATTAACCTAAGGCATATAGATGTTTTTGTAGTTCTAAGAGAGAGATCGAATATAGAAAGCTAATTAGACTACATGGAAATTCAACCTAGACCGATGCACGCAGTATTGTGTATGGGTTTTAATATGTAGGTAGATGAGGAAAACGTAGTATTGTCTATTGTGTATTGTGTACTGATTTATAAGAAAATTTTGGTGAGAGTTGTATCATATATATATATATATATATATATATATATATATATATATATATATATATATATATATATATATATATATATATATATATATATAATATATATATATATATATATATAATATATATATATATACACGGTAATTTGCATATGACATTATGGAAAATTATTCTTTAATTACCCTATTGTCTAATTAGTGAACTAAACTTGAAAAAGAATAAATTTTATAAATTAATTGATTAATTACCATAATATTCTTCCTTTCCATAACTAATTAGCCACACACGAAATATTTATGAAATATATATAGAGTAATTATATACACAGGGATATGAATATATAATTTGTATAATTATTGAAATTTTAGTTATGAAAACTTCACACGGAATAAATTTTATAAAGTAATCAATTAATTACAATAATATTTTTTGTTTCCATAACTAATTAGTCCCACACTATATATTTATGAAATATATATAGAGTAATTATATTCACACGGATATGAACATAAACTTTGAGAAAATTTTTCTTAAATTACCGTACAGTCTAATTAGTCAACTAAACATCACACGGACTCCATATTTATGAACTAATTAATTAATTTCCATCATTAATTAGTCACACCCGAAATATTTATGAAATATATATAGAGTAATTATATATACACACGGACATGACTATATAATTTCTAAAATTGAATAAATTTTAGCCAACTAAACTTCACATGTAATAAATTTTATAAACTAATTAATTAATTACCACAATTTTCTTTCTCTCCATAACTAATTAGTCACACATGGAATATTTATGATTATGAAATATATATAGAGTAATTATTATATACACACAGATATGAATATAAAATTTCTATAATTAATTAAAATTTAGTTAACAAAACTTCACACGGAATAAATTTTATAAACTAATTAATTAATTATCACAATTTTCATTCTTTCCATAAGTAATTAGTCTCAAACGAAATATTAATGAAATATATATAGAGTAATTATATACACGGGGATATGAAAATATAATTTGCAATTAATGAAATTTTAGTTATGAAAACTTCACACGAAATAAATTTTATAAAGTAATCAATTAATTACCATAATATTCTTTCTTTCCATAACTAATTAGTCACACACTATATATTTATGAAATATATATATTAATCACACGGAATTTACATAATCTTGTATATGCACACGGAATATCCCTTAATCTTGTATATAATTTCTTTAATTAATTAAATTTGGATATTACACAAATACCGCTAAGTTTTGGGGAGAAATTTTGGGGAGGATTTTTCTTTTATATATATATATATATATATATATATATATATATATATATATATATATATATATATATATATATATATATATATATATATATTTTCAAAAAAAAAAAAAAAAAAATATATATATATATATATATATATATATAATAGATTGCATTATGATTCTTATTTTTTACACTTTGTTCTTCTAATACTATTCGCGAAAATATTATTAAACTCTATATTACCATGGAACAAAGATAACTGAACAAGAATTGTAAAAAAAAAAAACATTATATGCTCTATTTACAGTGATTCAAAAACAACTTACCTTCTAATTATGAAGGTTTTTTAAAGGATGGCGGATTGCCGTCATCATTCCTGGTCCCAGCACAAGAGAGCATCCCGGTCCCGGTCGCTGTTGGTATGTATTCTCTCTCGGTTTTCTTTCCAATTTCTGAGTTTCCCACATGTACGTGTATGCTTATCATTGCGTCTTCCGTGTGCAGGCATTTCAAAATTGAATAGAAACTATGCCAGGACGTTGGACAAAGTTTTATGTATCCAACTTGGGGGATGGAGTTTCAAACAACGATATCTTCGTAAATTCTCTCCCATGTATTTCGAACAACGATATCTTTAAATAACAACTTGAAGATCTTGAAGGCATTGAAGACAATTGAAGACTTGAGGCTCACTTGAAGAGTTGAAGGTACAACTTGAAGATACAATTTTTGCTGGAAAACTCATAACTTGAATCGCGAAGGTCACGCCGTTTGAATCCCGGAGGCACTTCAGTAGAACAAATTGGCATGCCCGATGGGACAGCTTTGCCTCTCATCTCTTCATAAGAACATACATTTCAACCGATATGGGGGCAAACCCTATTTGAAATTTGAAATGGATGAAGCTAAACAATACTCCTTGTCATGAGTTAAAACGGTCGCATATGCTTCAAGGCTCATTGGTACGAGTAGAAACAACCTCATATCCCTCAAGGCTCCTTGACACGAGTTGAAACGGCCTCATATCCTTCAATATATTCTTTGGCACGAGTTGAAATGACCTCATATTCTTCAAGATACTATTTGGCACAAGTTGAAACGGCTTTATATCTTTAACTATAGTGTTGAGACTTCCTTCCACTACATACTCTCAGTGGTATATGCTCTCAAATGGTGTACAAGCAAGTCTCGATGGAGCATTTGTTGATATTGAAAACTTGATAAAGATAATATTAAAATATCAGAATATACTTTGGATCATATTGATATTATCTGATCTATACTTCTATACTATTAATAAAAATAAAATCCTCCTATGTAGTTTCCCGCCTAAACGTTTTTTAATAATAATGTTATTTATCTTAAAATGGAAAATGGAATAGAATCGGTTGTATCCACAATTTATAAGGAAGATTGTGTAATTAAAGATGGAAAATGTGTAATTTAAATATATATATAGAATCGGTACTATCCGTTTATTATAAGAAAAATTGCGTAAAGATGGAAAATAAATAAAGCAACATAATTAAAGATGGAAAATGTTTGATTCGAATATATATATAGAATCGGTAATATCCGTTTATTATTTTTTTCTATTATTTAATTAATCTTAATTATAAATATGTATACCGAGTATTAATTTCATGTGAATCAGGTCAATTTTTGTTGCTATAAATTGATAGGACTTGCCTTCCCCAGCACACTACTCATCAGAGATTCAAGAATAAGATTCTCTCTCTAAGGTTTTTTTCAAGGATGGATGATTGCCGTCATCGTTCCTGGTCCCAACACAAGAGAGCATCCCTGTAACACCCCCGATTTTTACCACATTTTTAAAACTTAAATGCACAGGAAGCTGCGCAATATAAAATCGGGATATGTTTTGCCACACCTATCTCAGACATAGGTGCATAGGCAGGAAAGCTATCCATTCAACAAAACATAAAGTATCTAGGCACACAGGCGGCTAAACTTGGCGCACAGGCCAACAAAAGATAACGTGTACACATGACAACTAATCTATCTAGTGATCCACGTCTAGCGCTCTCAGACATCTACTCAAAACCTGTAGAACAAGGGAATAAACATGGGGATAACACCCGGTCAGCGAATATTGCTGGTAACCCATCAATACGCGTTAAATAACATATATAGATAAGTATAAGCAAAACCATTTTGAAATAGAATACGGTATATATCATTTCAAAACCAGGGAGAGAAATTAACTTCAAGACTCATCAAACACTCTCAAAAGAAATGGGAATTACCATTCTTCGATCCCAACAACGACAAGACAACAAACATGAAAGACAATACAACTCAAGATGCACTCTACTGATCACAAAGTAGAATACATCAAGACATGCTCATAAGCAAGGAATTCACATTCACAGAGTAGCAACTACATGCCACAGTGACAACTACATCTCACAAGTATCATAGTTCCAACATTATGCCCTATTCCAACCTTATGGCTACCCTCGGCCTTATTTCAGTTCCAACCTTTACCTCCTAGTGCCACCCTGTACTTCTGAGTTCAAGCTTGTACCGCCAGGGACCGTCGTCCCCCCGCCAACAACCTCCAACATCCCGTCGAACTCTCAGTACACGAGGGTACCATTAATTTCAATCACATAGCCTCTAACATATGAGCCAAGCTCAGATAACACACCACCAATTTCAATCATAGTCACACAAGATCATCATCATTACCAAGAAAACTAAGGCTCAACAATAACCTTAATCAAGTATCAATCAAAGGGTATAACGATTTACATATGTTCACATCATAGGAATCAATCAAGGGATCACAACAAAGACATGAGACCATACTCAATGACAAGGGATCACAATCCAACACCAAATGATTGTCAATACAAGTTGCCAATCCCAATAGGAAGGAACAAACCATACATACTAGCATTTTAACATCAAACTAGCATGCTTAAGAAACGGGTAAACCAAAAGTAGTTCCAAAGAACATTCAAGACTCCCATTAGTCCAACGAATCACAATGTCAGACCCTTAGCACGATTCAAGACACCAAATCCTATATGGATTCCTAACATACCGTTCTAGACATACGAAACATCAAGAAGACTCACAAATAACCCAATAAAACAACATCGGGAGGTCAAAACATCAATACCGAGTCAAAAGAATCACGGGGAACAAATCCCCGGCCAACCACCACTGTGTACCCCGCGGGTGGGGACACGGGTGGACAACCATCCGCAGTTCTGCCCGCGGGTACCGACCCACGAGGAACACGTTCCTTGCGGGTGGGGCGGTGGGTAAGGCCCTGCCCGCCGTTTCGCTCGCGGGTACCACCTGTACACCAAAAATATCCCTTCGGGGATTTTCAACAACAAGGTCAAGTTCAAGTCCAAAACACCCAAAATCTCACACACAACAACAATATGACTTGAACCCAAGAAATAGCCAAGCAATGGCATTCAAGAACCCTAAGAACAAGTTCTAAACATGCATCACCACAAGACAATGCATCAAATCTCACAAATCAACACAAGAATCACAAGTAGAAGAAAAGAATCATGTAAGTAAGAAAATAGGTTTTGTAAAGCATGGGTTACCTCATTCGCTTAACATCCAAAAACAACGCCAACTTAGGCTCAACTCATAAAGCCAAGCTACCAGGAACCTGTGGATTAAACCGAATCTTCACTAATTAAAACTAAATAAGCTCATGAGGGGAATTGAACTCTAGTTCCTCCTTAAATCACCCACAAGTACAGTCATCTAAACTAGACATCCTATTGTTAATTTGATTATAACATTATAATAATAATAATTAAGCTAACAACCAAGTTCTAATAAAATTAGTAATTAAAACAGAGGTGGGATTCAAACCCTAGTTTCTCCCATCACCAAACACTCTCCTTACTATCTAAGCTAAAACCTCACTTAATAACACTAATTAACAACAAACTACTTAACAACTAATAAACAACAAGGATAGGAAAAGCTCACCACTTTCTTCTTCTTCTCCATGTAGCCAAGCCGCGGCTGGTGCGGCGGGTACACCACCACCCTATCCAACTGCCCGCGGGGTACACCAGATCCACCACGTCGTCGGAGCTCCGAAACTACAACCTCGTCGTCGCCGGAAGAAGATGAAGACCGGAGGGGGATGGAGCTGCTGCGTCGACCGTCCGTCGAACTTGCCGCCGGAGTTGCTGCCTCGCCGGTGCTCTGCTTGACGTCATTACTGCCGAAGGAAGGAGACAACGAGGGGGGCTTGGTCACTTCCGATTACTGCCTTCGCTCGTCGGAGGAGAAGCAGAGCTTTGCAGGAGCATGGAAGCTACTTCACCGCTGGAATTCGTCGAGCTACACTGTCGGACCCTCCAACGCACTACCACCGTCGACCTTGCTCGCCCACACTGGAAAACTAAAGGGGAAGAAGGGAAAAGATGGACTTGTTTGCTGGTTGTTGGATGTCGTCCCAAGAAGGGGAAAGAAACCAAGCATGCCTTCATTGATGCTTAGCCGAGAGAGAGGGAGGTGGAAGGAATTATACGAAGGGGTAGGGTTGTTTGGCTGAAAGGAGAGCTGCTACTACTTAGCCATATTTTACATATGTATATTACAAATATAAATATTACTATTTAGGGTAGACTTCTAATTTGGGTTGGGTCATATAAGACAAATGGGCTAGGCTAGATAGGTTTAAGGCTAGGTAGAAAATACATCTCATTTTGGGTATAGAATAATCTTATGGGTTCAAGACCAACTTTACCCTATAAAATACTTATATACAAATACTTTGGGCTTACAATAAATAGGTAGACTTTAGGTAATTAAAATCTCTTTTGGGCTTAAGGCATTTGGGTACAAAATTAATAGTTCATATAAAAAATAGACCCGAGCCCGTTTTAAATTAAATAGCTATATAAAAATTTTTAATAAAATATTTAATATCGAGACTATAGTTTTTTTTAGGAAAATACGGGGTGTCACAATCCCAGTCCCGGTCACCATTAACATTTCATTTGGTCTGTATTCTCTCTCAGTTTTCTTTTCAATTTTTGAGTTTCCCACCTGTATGTGTATGCTTATCATCACGTCTTCTGTGTGCAGGCATTTCAAAATCGAATAGAAACTATGCATGAACGTTGGACAAAGTTTTATGTATCCAACTTTGGGGATGGAGTTTCGAACAAGGATATCTTATTAAATCCTCTCCTGTGTGTTTTTTGAATTGATATTTCAAATTTATTCATACACATAGGTAATCTAGTTCTGTGCATGCAGAAACTATTTTCATATATTAGTTCTTTGAATTCGTCCACACTCAAGTATGACTGGATTGACAGGCTAACGGTATTATATATATATATATATATATATATATATATATATATATATATATATATATATTGGTTCGATCGGTTATGTTGGCCTGCCGAGTGATTACCCCGAGTCACGAAACCAACAAGTAGGTATTTGCGTGGGATAATGGGTAGCTGTATGAGGGGGTGGGTAGTTATATAAAGCTAGTTTGAGGGTAGGTAGTTGACTAGATAGCTGTATGCAATTGGGTATTAGCAGAGTTTTATTATTTCTCCAGCTCCAAGTTGAATGTTTGCTTAACACATATAGCAATACTATTATTTTATTATTATAACCACCACTCAACCAGTTCTATTAGTTGCGCAACCCCATCAATCACTCATTCGCTCTAAGCCCATTTTAGCATTAGCCTTTGGTATAAGTCCAACTATACAACAAGTCTTCAATTAAGAGCACACTACTCCATCACAAGTACCATACTTCCATTGTTGTAAGGATTATCAGCACAAAGAAGTAGAAAATAGGTCTAACCAACCAGGTGTTAGACTCGGCTTCATCAAAGAAGGGAAGTAGAGATCAATCCTCAGGGGGGCCTGTAAACACAAAAATGTAAACTTTGTATATATTCACAAAATTCCGTGTACAGCGTGTGTATAATTCAATGCAGGTACAAAATCTCTGTCTAGTCCTCTGATTCTTCACTGACGTTATCTATTGAAGTGCCTCCGGGATTCAAATAGCGTAGCCTCCGGGATTTAATTGGCGCGTGCCTCCGGGATTTAATTGGCGTGGCTTCCGGAATTTAATTGGCGTGACTTCCAACAACGAGCGTCAAGAATTTAGAAGTAATCAATCCTGCAAAATTTCAAAAACACATGCAATGGACTCAAGCCGCCTGAAGGTCCTCAAATGCATTCAAAAGGCTTCAAGATCTCCGAGACAATCAATTCTGCAAAGCTCCAAAGTACCTGCAAAATATTCAAAAGATGCCTCCACGCCTTCAATCGTTCTTCAAATGCTCTCAACTCCTTAAGTTGTTCAATGCCCTCAAGCTCTAAGCCTTCAAATTCTTCAAGCTTTCAAGTGTGTTTTGGAATGAAAATGAAGGCTCTATTTATAGCTGAAGCCTAACCAACATTCCTCAACAAACTCCCCATTTTAATTAATTAATTAATTAATTAATTAATTAGGAAAATGAACCTTGTTCAAGATCAAGTCCAGGTTCATTATTGTATAATCTAATTCAAATTCAAATTAAATTATAATTACTTAATTCAAATATAATAAAATTGATATTATATTTAAATTATAACTATAATGCAAATTCAAATATGAAATGGGCTCGAACCAATTAATTAATTAATTCAATGGCCCAAATCAAATCTAATTGGGCTAATCAAATTAAATTAATTTCTATGACCCAATTAATTAAATTGGCCCAATCGTCAATCTCAACATTGGCCCAATAACACTTTAATCGGTCCATTTATCGGGTTCGAATTTCATGTGTCTACAAATTGCCCCCTCGAGACTTGTCGGGACATGCTGCTTGTAATGCTTGGAACGAGGGAGTCTCGAAACTCAACAAATGGTCCTTTAACTTCATCATGGTACATTTTAATTTCCTGAGCCCAAAGCACGTGCATAATGTTTCTTAAGTCTAAAATAATTTTAGAATGTACATGGTTAATGCATCCTGATCCATAGGCCCAAACACTTGCCTGAATATTTCATGAACCCAAAGTCATTTTTTTTTATCACCAAAGATCAAACTGGCGCAATAAATTTTAATTCCACAAACCCACTTACACTAAGCCCAAGCCCATATAATTTTGCCATCTCAAACCCAAGTCAAAACCCATCTTGATTAGGATAGCTCTGCCTGAATCCTAACTCTAACCAAATGCACACTATTCCATCCGTGATTCTAGCAGCTTCCCCGTACGTTTGCAAAATTGTATCGATCATGTTTAGGATTATAGAGTCCAACTCTAATTCCAATCCCTTCGCCGGGCACTATAAATACCTACCTCAACTCTCCAATCTTTACAAACACAAAGGAAACTGAGAAGGAAGTGAGGAGCTCATCACTGGAACTCTGCCATTCAATAAGGTATATTCTCCTTTTTCCTTTCTTTATATATACTGTCTTTTGCAGAAACAATGATACACACGGCCGTAATACAAGAATGAAAAGGAACAGAGCAACATAAACGAAGCTGGAAGTGCACTGACAACTGCTTCAAGGATTTTTCCTTTTCCTCTTCTTTTTTTTTTCCTTGCAAACTATCAGTTTCCATCTGTTGAGGGTGGCCGGAATTGCCCGCCGGCGTTGTTGAAGTCGCTGCTGTTGGAGCCTTGGACTGCAACCAAATGTCGTTCACGCTCTGTCTCTTCACCGTGGCTATTGCGGGAGGTTTTTTTTTTTTTTTTTTTCTTCTTTGAATGCCGCAGGAGGTTGTCGGACTGCTGCCCGCCGGAGTTCTTCATAGAAGTCGCCGGAGATTCGTTGCTCTCTCGTCGGAGGTTGTTTTTTCTTCTTTGAATGCCGCAGGAGGTTCGTTGCTGCTCTCGTCGGCGGTTTTTTTATTTTTTTATCTTCCCCGCAGAAGTCGCCGGAGTAGTTGAAGGTGGCCTGCTTCCGTAGTCTTCTTCTTCTCTGTCGACGCCTCCGGAGATCGACACCTCAACCAGGAACGCGTGCTGACATCTGCTACCGCTGGAGACGGATCACCGCACCACCGTTGTTGCTGCGTGCTTGGAGAGATGAAGCGAGAGAAACACTGCATAGAGCGAACCCACGATGGAGAACATAACTTTGTGAGCTGGGAGTGATTTTAAACCAACCATTATTTGTGAGCTGGGAGAACATTACTTTGATGGTGATTTGAGGGTGACAACACATACTGACATGCACAGCCTACAACAGCCACCTAACCTTTTTACTTTTTTCTTTTTCCTTTTGATTTTCCCTTTTCTTTCTTTCATTCTTTCTGTTGCGCTTTTTTTCTTTGGTTTCTTTTGCTTTGTTTCTTTTTTTTTTTTTTCTGTGTTCTTTTTCGTTTTTGATTTTTGTTTGTTTTTTTTTTTCCCTTTTTGCTTTTTTTTTTTGTTTTGTTTCTTTTTGCTAATATTTTAATAGTAATATTATAATATAATAATATAATAATAGTAGTAACATTACTAATAATAACGATAATACTAATAATAATAATAACAACAATAATTATATAATATTGTGTATCTATATGTATAGAATGTATTAACCTATGTAGTTCACATGTAGTATAAGTATACAATCATTATTGCATAGACCATGGTCCATAAAATTGTGTGGACCATAGTCCAAAAAAAAAAAAAAAAAAAAATTTGCTATATATATATAATTTGTCAATTTAATTTTGTGTTATATATATATGCTATATATTTGTGCATAATATATCATAGTTATTATTATTATTTTTTTTGCAGTGACTTTTCGACTTTGACGCATTCAAGATGGCGTACTTTCAAGATCAACGACGTAACGGGCAAGAGGTCATGGTGATATCGAGCAAAAATAGCGATCATCAAGTCACACTGACGGTTAACCCACCCGTCGCAATACGTGACCCGCCGAAGCTCACGGTGTCGTATCACGAGAGCAACTGGACCCCCGAGTATGAATGCTCACCATCCAAGGTGTGGACCCTGCTACCCGGAATGCAGCACCACCCTTCCAAAGACACCCTTCCTACATTGGGGCATCGTATGCTTAATGCTGAGGTCTCGTGGGGCCAAGACATAGACTTCGAGGGCGAATTCACTTTTCTGAAAGGATATTGGGAGTGGGTTGAAGAAACACTTCACTTCTCCCACTACACCTTAAAGGATGCGAAGATATATGATGCTGTGTTTGCATCTTTGTTTACGTATGACAACAACATCAACATTGTCAAAGCCTTCTGCGAAGCATGGTGCCCGCGCACCAATACCCTGATCACCTCGTCTGGTGAGGTGAGCATATCGCCTCGGGATTTGTACGTTCTTGGGGGACTATCACTGTCCGGCGGTATTTATGACGAACACATCCCGAGTGCCCTGGACCTAAAAAGGGGCCAAAACAGGTGTTGTGCGAGCTTATTCGAGGCCTTTTATCTCTTAAATCAGCAAGAACGTGACACCTCCTACGTTCAAGCATCGGATGGATTGACTTCTGGTGCAGAAAACCGCGAACGCATCAAGCTCCTCAACCTCCATCTCAAAAGGACAGGAAATCCCGGCCAAGGAATACCCACAACCCAAGCGGAGAACTTAACAAATCTATCAGGTGGTTAGATGTGAGCAGGACGCCCTTTATCGAACTAGGCATCTCCCGGCGTTTTGAAAAGGAAGCTTACTTAGCCGCGTTCTTATCTTGTTGGCTTTGCGTGTTTGTCCTTCCAGGAACACCAACAAGAACCATTCGCCCAGAGACTTTCAAGATAGCATGCATGATGGCTAGAGGGGAGAAGATATGTCTTGCGGCTCCAGTACTTGCTAATATCTATTCTGGTTTAAATTCAATCTCGGAATCCCACTCTCCTGGTCAAATAGGGGATCCTTTTCCAATCCATTACGTGTACGGATGGCTAGCGACTTACTTCCAAACCCACTTTAAGACTCCTAACCTCACGTTAGCAAACCCAAAAATGGTCACTTATTCTGGAGAAGGTGGTGCAAGGTATTACAACGAGATGGATGCCCGCAAGAAGATATTTAAAGGGGACGTTTCTTGGCTCTGTACCTCCCACAAGGGTAATAGAGATTTTATCTTTTATGACGACCGCAAAGGGAATAGGGAAGACTTTGAGTACTTCATATGTTTGCGTCCTAGCTTCCTCGTTTTGCGCCGAGGGTCTCAATGCAAAGCTGAGCCTTACATGCCGCATCGCTTCAGTCGTCAATTTGGATTCTATCAAGCATATGCCCCCGGCCTATTGGCAAATGATGTCCGCTATGTTTCACTCACCGAAGGATTTCGACTCCATCGCCAATATGAACATATCAACTCCCAATCCAGGGCGACATTTCCCATGAACCCGATTACTCCAAAGAAGCATGTTTCAAACGAGTACAAGGCCTGGTTGATCGATGTGAATGCAAACCTTCTCGAGAATCGTTCCACAGATATAGTTGTTAACGGAAACCCAAATGTACCTGTTGGGGGGGAAAGAATTGAGGAACAAAGAGACCAATTGACCACCTCGAGGAACAAAACAACACTTGCACAAGAGGACACGTCACCTCGGGATGAAGCCTCAGGACATGCCGTTCGAAGGAGCAGGGAGGAGCAAGCGACGCAACGAAGCTCGGACGAGGATGCTGGTAGTGATCAAGATCGCTGTTGGAAACGGCCCAGAGGGAGACGATTGAGCCAGGTTAAGCTGTCTCCCAAAATTCTTCCGTTCCGTATGTTGCTGAACTTTAGCCTTTGCTAACGTACATGCACTACTTCTTACAGGATCCTGTCGAGCCACCGTCATCGAATCATCAATCTTCAATGGGTCAAAGTGACGGACGGTCTAATACTCTCGACCTCGAGGTAGCATCCCACCAGTCAACGCCGCCCTTAAACATAACTCCCCAGGAGATGCAGCCAGAGCCGTCCCAAGCCTCTATCTTCCCGGGCGAGGAGTCATTTATATCGCAATACACGGCTTTCATTGCAGGAGTTTGGAGTAGTATCTGCAGGAAGCTTAACGAGGTTCCAGCTGAAAAAATCTCCTCTTACCAAGGAAGCGTTGAAAGACGAGTTCAAGAAATGGGACGGGACGGTGTGGACCTATCAACATTGAAGCTACGAGTGGCCGAGTTCTTTAATAAAGCCAAAGATTACGATCAAGCGCGGTCGCGGCTTTCTAATGCACTGCCCGTTGAAACTCAAGCCGCGAAGCTAGTTCTAACGCAAGGTGTCCTTATAGAAGCTCAACAGAAATTTTCTCAAACCGAAGCGCTTTTTCTTGCCGAACAGAAAACCGTTAGCGACGCAGCCGATCGAAAAACCATCCTGAAAAAAACGATAAAGGATGCGCAGGAAGAGTTGAAAGCGATTGAAGCCGAAGATCCGAAACTCCAAGACCGTGTGGCAAAGGCTCAAGAACAGCATAACGCATCGCAAGAGGCCGTGACCACCGCTGAGGAGGAGCTTAAACGTATTCGAGACTGCCCCACGTTGACGGATGAAGACGAAGAAAGACTTACTTCAATCAAAAGAGAGCTGGAAGCGTATAAGGAAGATCTCATGAGCTTTAGAATACTTTAGATTTCTTTTTTTGCTTAGCTCTTTGATTTTCCATTTGTTTACTTGTTTTCATATTTCGGCTACTTTGTATGAGTTCACTCGGAAACGAGGCTTGAATATGACTTGAATTTATTTTTTTTATTTATTTATTTTTATTTTTCTTTTATATTTTTTTTTTTTTTTTGTTTCAACAACACTTGCAAACTATTTTCTCGGTTACAAGTGCAAAAGAGTGTACTTGGAAGAAAGCAACTTGAACACAACCGTGAACAAAAACAACTAAGTCTACACCCAAACGAGTCACTTTAAGTAGAAACATGCCCAAAGAATTTACTCTTAATTACAACATGAATAGAGAGGACTAAACTCTCATACATCCACATTGTTTTGAACAAACGTAACACAAAGGGGTTTATTTTAGTTATGACTGAACTTAGAAGTAGTGTTTCTAAGCTGCCTACGTACTCCTGTAAAGGAGATCAAGTCAAACGTAGTTCAAAGGACCATTTGAATAGGTAGGGCCGTTCACAGTTTAAACTCATGCGGGCCAGGAGTTTACCGTACACAGTTTAAGCTCGTGCGGGTCAGGAGCGTCTATGACTTGGGCCCACCCATAGACAGGCGAGATGTTTTAGCAGTTTAACCACGTACTACATTTTTGGTGGATATCATTCATCAACTAGTCCCGTGTGCTTAAGGGTGATAAACCTTTAAGAATTTCCCGTTGATGGGGCCAACTCGCACACCATTTTCATCAATTAGCTTGTAAGCGCCTCCTGAGTATGCTTCTTGTACCACGTAAGGTCCATCCCATTTTGGAGTAAACTTGTGCCCAGTTTTCCTTGTAATAATGATAGGCCTACGAACCGCCAACACCTTGTCACCCACCTGAAATGAGCGAATCCTTACCCTCTTGTTGAAAGCTCTAGAAATTCGAGCTTGATAGCATTCTAAACTTTGTTGAGCCTGCAACCTCTTCTCGTCGAGAGCTTCTAACTCTGCCAACCGTAACTTTACATTATCCTCGTCTGTAAGACCTTCTTGGATAGCTAACCTTAGAGAAGGTATTTGGCGTTCAAGAGGCAAAACTGCTTCAACCCCATATACCACTGAGTATGGAGTGCTTTGTGTTGGTGTACGGTATGTAGTTCTGTACGCCCACAGTGCTTCTTCCATCCTCTCTTGCCAATCACGTTTTGACTTCGACACCACCTTTTTCAGTAGATTGCATAGAGTTTTATTAAAAGCCTCGGCAAGTCCATTTGCAGCTGCATAATAAGCTGACGAATTTCTTTGCTCGAACTCAAAAAGTTTGCAGATTTTATCCATCAATTTATTATCAAATGGTTTCCCGTTGTCAGTGAGGATGTACCGAGGGATGCCAAAACGATAGATAATGTGAACTCGGATGAAATCTGCAACATTTTCCTTCTTCACTTCCTTTAAAGCTACTGCTTCAGCCCACTTTGAGAAATAATCGGTGGCTGCTAATATATACGAATGCCCTGCTGATGATTTGGGTGTAATAGGACCAACCACATCGAGCCCCCACGCATCAAATGGCCATGATGCTACCGTTGGATGTAGCGGTTCAGGAGGTTGATGGATAAAGTTCGCATGGAATTGACATGCTTGACATCTACGCGCATAGTCTATGCAATCCTTCACCATCGTAGGCCAGTAGTAACCCATCCTTTTGATGTGAAAATGTAACTTAGGACCAGATTGATGAGCACCGCACACTCCAGAGTGAGCCTCCTCCATCGCTTGTAAAGCTTCCTCCTCACCTAAACATCGAAGAAATACGCCATCAAACGAGCGCCGATATAACGCATCCTTGAAATATATGAAGCGAGGAGCCCGACGTCTTACATCTACCCTCCTACGCGGGTCTTGAGGTAACTTCCCATCAGCAAGGTAGTCAATCAATGATTGCCTCCAATCCTCTTTATCTACCTCATAGACAGAGGCAGTCGGGAGTTCAACAATGTCGTCAAGAGAGCCATCGTCTTCGAAGATTGGAGGGACCACCCATTTTTGGCACACGCGTAACCGAGCCTCATATGTAGGATGTGATACAGTTGAAGCTAAAGCAGCTAGGGCATCGGCTTGCTTATTCTGTTTCCTCGGGATGTGTTCAATTGTAGCATCTCCCAGCCAATGTAGGAGCATTTTTGCGTAACTGTTGTATGGAATCAACTCTGGTTTCTTTACTTCATAAACCCCAAGTACTTGGTTGACAATCAGCTTGGAGTCCCCATATATATTAACCCTTAGCTGCTTCATATCAGCTGCAATTTCAAGTCCCAAAATAAGTGCTTGATACTCGGCAACATTGTTCGAACAGCGTTCCGTCAAGGTAAATGAATAAGGAAGCACTTCCCCTTCCGGCGCAACAAAGACAACTCCAGCGCCTGCCCCCTCTTTGTGTGCCGCTCCATCAAAGTACATCTTCCATGGAGGTAAAACTTCAACCACAAGCACATCCTCATCAGGTAGGTCACTGGACAACTCCCATTCAGCAGGAATTGGATGATCGGCTAGGAAATCTGCTAAGGCTTGCCCCTTGATGGATTTCTGTGGTACATAAGTAATCTCAAACTGTTGAAATAATAAATACCACCTCGCAAGTCGATCGGAAAGAACAACTTTTGCCATGACATACTTAACTGGGTTTGCCCTGGAAACTAGTCGAATTGTATGCGCTTCAAAATAGTGCTTGAGTTTCCGAATTGCGAATACAAGAGCCAAACACAACTTCTCAATCGGCAGATATTTGAGCTCATTTGACGTCATCATTCTACTTAAATAATAAAGGGCATTTTCTTTCCCATTATCATTTTCTTGTGCAAGTAAAGCACCCACAGAGCTTTCTTGGGCGGAGATGTAAAGGATCAACGAGCGTCCTGGAATTGGAGCCGTCAGCACGGGCGGCTTCATTAAATAGGACTTGATGTTTTGGAAAGCGTTCTTACAGGCTTCATCCCATACAAACGGGACACCCTTCCTCATTAATCGGCTAAAGGGCTGACATCTTCCTGCTAGGTTTGATATGAATCTTCTTATATAAGCCAACTTCCCTTGCAAGCTTTTAAGCTCATGAAGGTTCCGTGGCTCAGGCATCTTCATTATAGCGTCAATCTTTGCTTGTTCAATCTCAATGCCCCTATGTCGAACGGTAAACCCAAGGAATTTTCCGTCAGCAACCCCGAAAGCACACTTCAGGGGGTTCATTTTGAGCTGAAACTTCCGTAAGCGGTCAAAGACTTGTCTTAGATGCATCATGTGATCTGTGCGAAGTTTCGACTTCACAACCAGGTCATCTACGTAACATTCCACCATTTTATGCAGCATATCGTCAAATATAGTCTGCATGGCCCTTTGGTATGTAGCACCAGCATTTTTCAAACCAAAGGGCATCACTTTGTAGCAGTAGATACCTTTTGGTGTACGAAATGCTGTAAACTCCTCATCTTCTGGCGCCATGCGGATTTGATTGTAACCGGATGAGCCGTCCATGAATGACATGATCTCGTGTCCAGTTACGGCATCTATCATTAACTCTGTGATAGGGAGCGGGAAGTTATCTTTCGGGCATGCAACGTTAAGATCTCGAAAGTCTACGCACACGCGGATCTGGCCATTCTTCTTGCGCACAGGCACAATGCTGGATATCCAAGTTGGGTATTTAACTTCGCGAATGAAACCAGCCTCTATAAGCTTGTTGACTTCTGCTTCGATTGAGGGAATGAGCTCGGGGCGAAAGCGCCGTTGAGCTTGCTTAATAGGGCGACACCCCTTTTTTACTGCCAAGCGGTGCACGGCTACCTTTGGGTCCAACCCTGGCATCTCTTTGTATGTCCATGCAAATACATCAATATATTCTTTCAAAAGTGTGACATATATTTCTTCATCTTCGTTGGAAAGGAGTGAACTAATGAAGATGGGTCGAGGACATTCAGGGGTTCCTAGATCCACCTCTTTTAGTTCATCCACTGCGG